ACAGATACACTCACTGTATGGACAGATACACTCACTGTATGGACAGATAAACTCACTGTATGGACAGATAAACTCACTGTATGGACAGATAAACTCACTGTATGGACAGATGACATCAGTCCAGTTTGAGTCCAGCAGCAATATTAGGGAGTCTTTTTCTGCATCACTGTTTAAAACATGGGAATCTGAAGGAACCACTGGATAATCGGTATGTTTGGAATGACAGTAATCTAATTTAAAGGTTTAAAATGTGGGCACATTGAAGACTGTCCCTGTTCAAAGGCCTGTGTGGGTCCGCCTGTGGTCAGATCTGTAGTTAATTATGGTGTTTCATTCAGAACCGTGTCAGTTCACCTCAGAGCTGCAGCAGTGAGTCACTTCCAGCCGTCGCAGCAGCTGGTGGATCATTTAACAGACGTTCCTGCCTCAGTCCTGCTGTTTGGATCCGTCCCGTCCAACACTCACTTCTGCAGAGACAAGACAGCGACGCATCCACAGGCTGTGCAGGTAAAATAAATTCCTCTCAGAGACGGTGAAATCAGTTTACTGCAGTGGATGAAAACCTCATTCCACAGAGACTCTCAGTGTGCTAACTCGTAGGCTAGGCTATAACTTCCTGTCATAAACAACTTCAACTAGTTGTTGCAATGCAAAAAGGATGATCAAAAATGTATTGTTTTAGGTAAAACTGAAACAAGACTAATGCCTCATTTCCACTGCATGGTGCAGCTCGGCCTGACTCAACTCGCTTGGGACTGTTAACTCTGGAACTTTTTTGTTGACAACAAACTTTTTTGTTGGTTTTGTTTTTCCGTTGGCAAAAGTTGTGGATAGTCTCTGTTACCTGGTACAAGTGAGTAGAGCCGATACTAAAAGGTCAGTTTCACGCAGCGTTTCTACGACAAACAGCTAAAAATCCTACTTACATTGAGCGAGTTCCCGTCTGCAGTCGAGAAAAAAATCAAGAAAAGAATCAAAAGCGAGCTGAGCCGCTCCGTGCTGTGGAAATGAGGTCTAATCCCCATGATAGCGGCTCTGTGAGGCGACGCTGCTTTGAGCTAAATGCTAAACGTCAGAGGAAACGTCACCAAAGTCAGTGCAATGTAAAATAACTGATATCTTTACAATAAAAAACTGACCACTGGTCGTGGTTGGCAGAACTTTACTGTAATAAATATTGTAGAA